GACATTTTATTAAGGACTTTTGAATGTTTCAAATGGAACCACTTGTTGACCTACATTTGAGACCGACTGACCTTCAGGGCACAATTCAGAACAAGCTTTCACTCGACCTTGTCCTCCAGGAGATGTGGCTGTCTGGTTGGATAAAGTTAAAGAGCAAGCTTTTGTCACAAAACTGACAATGAAGTAAAGTCACATACAAAACAGGAATAAAACCTTCACCAGATGTATTCCTCTTAAGCCGACTAGTAAATTAAAAAGACACTTTCAGAATGACAAGAAACCTGTTTTAGCTGAACAATAACACCCGTTGTCAAGGACATAGTCGTCCCCTGAATAGAGTCAGACCAGAATGCTCTATTCTAAACACCACCAAGAGGGTAACAATGCACAACCTGACTTTCACCCGTAAGGAGGGAAGAATTCTCGGAGAAGGGCTGCATCTAGGATTTATGCGGCATTGTTGGAAGAAATAAAAAGTGACAGTAGCTCACAGTGGTTGGTTATTTTCTGAGGAGAACAAGGACACCTATATTTTTGTAGTTCGATTCTTTTTGATCAGACAGTTGTTCTCCAATGGCTTATCATCTTACTGGAGTTAAATAGACAGCAAGCATATATTTATATCCATGGAAACTACTATCAGGATAGTGGCTACCTTTGATGAGGTGAGGGAGACAGACTGACAAGTGGCCAAAGGAAGCTTCCAGAGTGCTAGTAATTCCTATGACATGATCAGAGTCAGTCACACAGGCCCTGAGAACTATAGGATAGATGTGTTACACTTCAACAATAACGTTTCTCTGAAAAATGTTTCTGCAATCTTTATTCTAAGCAAAGAAAATAGTACATTCTTGACATAAACTTGTAAGGGGGCAGGAACTTTTTGCAAAGGAGAAAAATGCAGAGAAGAAGCCTATAGGGCATGGTGGGTGATGGTGTGTGGGGAGCAGTCAGGCATTATTAGCAAGGGCGAGACAGGAGAGGAGGTGGGAGCCTGACGATCAAGGATCTTACAGGATATGCTAAGCATTTTGACTTTATCCGATAAGAAGAAAAGAGATTCTTTGAAAGTCTGACTGTTTTGCTAAGTGAAAGAAGAAAGCAGTTTCAAATTTTTTTAAAAATCTACATTTTTGGAGGACAAAGTTATTGAATAGGTAGATATGCGATCAATTCTAAACACTTACTAATCGTTTTAATTTTTTCTTATAAAGTCGAATTTCAAGATGTCAATATCAAAGCTAAAAGTCTTGACTAATGTTCACAAAGGTTTTAAAAGATGAAACTATTACTAGTTGATAAGGGTACTTTATTAAATTGTTCAGAATATTTAACACTTTGAAGCATTTTATCCTCATTTCTGTTAATGCAACAATATGTTCAGAAATATATTAAAATATATGATTTCCCTCCCAAAATTCCCTTTACAAAGAAATGAGAACAAGTAATTAACATTTGTTGGTTTTAGAAATGGGAAGCAAAAACAGATACAAATTTATTGGCTACACTTCCAATATGTCTCCATCACAACTGTTACAACCTGGCCCGGCCCACTGGCGTCAGCAGGCAGCGTCCCGGCTGAGCTCCCTGGTTATTTACCTGCCGTCTCTCACGCTGCTCTGAAGGCAGCAGTTTGAGTGATCTTGTTTAAACTTATAAAGAAACCACTGTTTACTCAAAACCCTCAAATTGCTTCCCATCTCACTCAAAGTAAATTTCAAAGTCCTTATGATTATTTCAAGGCTCTATCTCTAATGTGTGTTCGTCCCTGCTTAGCTCTCTGGTCTCATCCCTCACTGCTTTCTCCATCATCCTCTCCGTCTCAGTCGCACAGGCGTCCTCCTTTTCCTGAAACACTCCGTGCACGAGTCCATGTCGGAACCTTTAATTTTGCTGTGTCTTCTCCCTGGGATTTCATGCTTTGCCCCCCAGACGAAGAGCAGCAGAAACACATCTATGCTTAAAGTCAGGTTTATTAGCTTGCAGGGAGAACATGCACCACAGGGATCCTTGGGGCATCTCAGTAAGAGGGAGATGGGAGGGTCTTGCTATAGTATTTGAACTCGTTTGGAGGCATTTTGAGGGAAAGTCTAGTAAAACCAGGTCTGTTCGTAAGTCAATCCTCTCAGGAAGCTCAGGTAACTCACAACTTAATATTAATATTTTACGTGGAAGTTGGGGAGCAGAATAGGGTAGAACTGACATTGGTAAAGAAGCAGCAGTTGTTCATATTAGCCAGGGAGATTGCTGTGTATTTCTTCAGGAATCTCTGTATGTCCTGGCCTGGTCTTTGTCCTATCATAGAGCGCCCCTCCGTAATTGTTGTCGAGATTGTTTCTGTTTATCTGAGAATTCAATAGCCTTGCTGTTACTCTTAGCTCTCACTTGCCAGCTGTCAGCTGTCGCAGACTTTTTCTCCCTTTCTTCCCTCCTTCCTTCTGCGGGCGACTGGAATTGGCCACCCCAAGATATGTCTCTTTGGCATGAGGATTATTTTGGGCTGGTTACTTGCTGCAGACAGAAAAGAAACTGAAAAGCAGAATTTACTTACCCTTTGTTAAGAGACATTTACATTTGTAAGGGAAATCTCCATCTGTAAAGGTGTCTCCCTCTGTACCAGGAGGAAGGGAGAATGACCTTATCTCTAGAAACTCTTAATCAATGGGGAAGGCAAGGACTTAAATCTACATAATAATCTTACTCCTGTTTACTGTACTTGTCTGGTAACCTCCTGTAACTGACTTCCCCCACCCCCAGCATCTTCCTTTGTCTTTAGCTGAAGATGAAATTTAATGGGGAGGCTTCAGCCATTTTGGCGAGTTGCTCAGGTTGCCTGAGCATCTCCCATGTATGCGTGTTATAAGGCTTTGTTTAATTTTCTCCTGTTATTCTGTCTCATGTGAATTTAATTCATTATCTGGCCAGAAGGACCCAGAGTGGGTAGAGGAAACGTCTTCCTCCCCTACACTTCCTTCTGTCCTTTCTTCCTTCTGTCCTTTCTTCCTTCTGTCCTTCCCTCCCTTTTTTCTTCTAAATGACAATATCTCATTCCTAGCAATCAATCTGAATAATGTATATAAATTGTCATAATAAAACACTATGGGCATTTTTTCCCTCAAAAACAAAATTCAAAACAATGGGAGAAGTAAACCGTCATGGTAGATTATAGCCAGTCAGGAGTTAGCGTGACATCTCTCCGTCACTACTGAAGGAAATGGATCTGGACTGAACAAAGCTGGGTTCCAAATAGCTCACCGTAGCGGTTCTCAACGCAAATATGCTGTCAAGCTAATCCTGGGAACGTCATTAGAGATTATGTTTGACTTGAGACATTTTATGCATTTTGCATGCTCATGAATTCACAGATCAATACAAATACGGCTATTACACAAAACATAAAAAGTACTTGATGTGGGGAGATAAATCTTCCCTGCATTTTTCAGCATTCCTGAAAAGTCCTGGCCTCCTGAGACATGCTGTGGGGATAGAGAACATTCGGCTTTACTTCCCTCAGAAACATTCGCTTTTCTGCAGCCATTTTTCTTCTTCTTATCCCATCCAAGGATGATAAACCTCTTATCTTCCCAACAACTAAATGGTTGCATTCCAGGTTAGGGACCTGGGTTAGCAGAGAGGGTGACAGAGGGGCCCCAGGCTCCAGAGGAATTTGGACACTTATCTTGCTATGTGTTTTCATTTCAAAAGGGATAAGCCTTGGGTTGTAAACTGGAGACACTTACCTTATCTTTGCCCTGGAGAAATTAATTTAAATTTCAAAGGATTAAGACCCAGGATCTGACTCCTGTTTTTAGAAGAGATAATTTGTGTACCTTGAGAAGATTAGAATTATGTTCCTCTCTCAGGAGGGGAATGGGGGACTGCTGTCCTTCTTGTATATAAGCTCAGAAATTTAGTTTTCTGCATGCATCTCCTACAAAAAATCTTGCCGTAAGTACAGGCTTATTCATGAGTCTCTCATCATATCACCACACCCCGGTCGCATGCTAGGCTTCCCCCAGGTCCGTGCTGCAGGGCTCCCCTGCCTGCATTACTGCCCCGAGGACCGTCTGCTCTCTGACCCTGCGACTGGCCATTTATGCCAGCATCTGTCCGTATCCACATCCGTATCTGTATCCATATCTGTATCTCTATCTGTCATTGCATCTGTGTCTCTGTTTATAGAAATATGCAACTGTGCACGTAGGGCAACATCTTAGATCTTTGCTGCTTCTGACTTAATTCCTGAATGAGATCGAATTCAGCCTAGTTCACGCAGTACAGAGCAGATTTTGGAGTACCTCTGAAGTGTTCGCATACAATAGAATCTTATTAAAAACATTCATACATTAATGCAATCATTGTATAAATACAATGGTAGTAATGTTTAGAAATTATGCCTGTGTCAAAGTTAATTGCTCTCATTTTGGAATCAAAACAGTAAGTAAATAAGTATTTATGTGCTTCAAAATATAATAGCATTTTGTAATGTAGTTTTTGTTCATAAAGGCAGGTAGCAACATTCCAGTTTTTTTTAGCATCCCCTTCCATTCTAATGGTGTTTCCTTTTTCACTTTTCAAAACTTTAGCATTAATAATAAAGAGTTTAGTGGATTCATAAATATGTACTATTGCAATAAGTATACAGGGACCACACAACTGTATTTTTAAGGAAAAGAAAATAAATTCCCATTTTCTATGAAAACACGTTATAAATCTTCTAATAATTAGATATACTTAGTTATATGCCGTGGCTATTTTCTGTTGTAACAATGACCCTATCTTAAATGCATCAATTCTAAATTTTAATGTTAATTTATCTAATACAAAAAATGAATCACACCCTTTTAATTGCTTAATAATTAGTCAAGATACTTATTGGCTAATCATATTGATTATTATAATTTAATTTTGTCAGAGTAGAAAAAGAATATTCTAATGTCACATGAAAATTATTTGCCTTCCACAGCTAGAAGGACCCACAACTGAAAATGTACAACTGTGTTCTGGGGGGCTTTGGGGAGAAAAAGGAAAAAGTAAAATCTTAAAAAAAAAAATTATTTGCCTTTAGAAAATCCTTTCTACCATAATATGTCAAATCAAATCATTTGAATCAAGATTCAAAGAATTTTAAAACCCAAATCCTTCAAAGTATGTACATCTCTTTGTTGTTTGAGTGGTTTTAGTTACCAAGTTGTACTAGTGTTTTTTACTCCTTACTTATCTAAACATGAAATAGTCATCCAATTACATGTTCACAGAGTTAACTTTTTACACTGGAAATAGAGAAGCTAGACACCAGCATGAGCAGGCTGACTCCACAGAAGTTACCACGTTTCACAGGGACCGTGGCTCCCTTCTGCTAAGGTGAGTGCTGTCAAGAAGACGTAATCCAGGTGTAATTCATCTTCTGGGGCTGCCTGGAGGTGGAGATCGCTGATGTACTTCGCTCTCCATGCTCCCATAAAAAGCATGGGATTAGATCTAAAGAAACGGTAATAAATTAGATAATAAAAAGTAAAATACACTGGGCAAATGACAGCAATTATACCAGTTGGTAACTTTCTCGGTTTGGACCTCTAAGGAGGAATGTGCACTGATTATGTATTCTAAAAAACAAACACAAAATCCCTCTTGAATAGACAATGAATAACATTATTTGCTTTCAAATTCTTCAAATGTTGAACTATTAATAAAAAGACGAGTAATTATGAATTCTTCCCAAATAAAATAAATTCAACATTTCAGACATAACTCATAGCATTCAGTGGTTGGATTTTCCTTTGAGGAATAATTTCAGATCTGCTGAATCTGTGCCAGGAGGATGCCATTAATGCCCAGATAAACCTAACATCAGGAGCCCAATAAAAGGCAGAGGCAGTTATGGGACTGGTGGAGGCACAGAAGAAATGGGTGCTGTTTCACTGGAATGAGAAGTGTGAGTATGAACTTCAACTTTCTGAAGAAACCTGATTCCTCTGCATAAGACCTTCAACGCCTGGGCCTCAAGCAGTTTTCTTACAGGCTGATGAGGATTCTCCCCAGGACTGACCTCCACCACCTCTCATTGACTCCAGGCCCATAGCGAGAATTAGCGCCCAATGAATCCAGATAGAGAAGCACAAAGACACTTTCCGGAAGAGACAGCCTATGGACTGAAAGGGTTACTGACCCATTGCAGCAAGTGTTACCAACCCTGTTGGCAGAATTCTGGGAAGCATATGCCATTAGGCATGGATTCTAGGGGTGGCAGGCACAGGCCAGCAGAATAGAAGGCCTGATGGGGTGAAATCTGTTGACATGGGTGCCCTCAACTGAGGATCAATTTCATATTTTAGCTCAATCTTCAGGCACAGGTTTGAAGGATCCGTGAGGTAGGCTAATTGATACCTGGACTCAGTGACTGCCTCTGTCTTTTGATGTTGGCAAGTCAGAGCCTCCTGCCTTGCTGTAGGGAATCAAGTCTGAAGACTGAAAGCACAGGGGAAGCGGGAGTAAAGGATTGGCCATTCTAACTGGTCACAGCACGGCTGTTCATGAGAAAGCAGTCTCGCACAAGCAAATCATGGACATTTTTCAATGTCCCATATTCTACAGTAGTGCAATTGGTCTGTAGTCTTTAACAATTCCAATGTCAAAAAAGATAAAGAAAGGCTGAGGATTAAAGGAAACTAAAGATGCGACAAATAGATGTAATCTATGATTCTGGGATTGGATCTAGGCTCTAAAAAAGGCTCTTCCAGGACACCTGGTAAAACTTAACTATGGGCTTTTCATTAAATAATAGTATTGTACTAATAGCACATATCCTGAATTTGAAAATTTCATATTGACTGTCTAGGAGAATGTTCTTGTTCTTAGAGATATAAACTGAAGTGCATGTGGTTTTATACGTCATGATATCTGCAAGTTGTTCTCAAATAGTTCAGCAAGTCCACAGCGCCAGAGCCTCCTCCTGCTTCAATGTGATGACCTGCCCTGCAGTGGGTCAAAGGAGCAGCTTGACCCTTTTCTCTGCCCTCTCAGAGCTTCCTATTTCCATTTTCCAGAGTTACTCCATATCGGGACACAGCTAGTATGCAAATGTATTGTGAATTATTGGATGTTGTCTTTGAATGACCCTAAACTCTGGAGATCCAGAAAACATTATTGTGCTCTGGCCTGGGTGAGGACTTCAAGAGTCAGTTATTAAATGGAGGTTTTGCCCAGGTCATCTCACCGCAGATCCAGTGGGGCTGCCGAAACTTGGTATTTACTTCCCCAGTTCCAGTATGTATAGAGGGAGTAGGAATAATTAAAAACTGGCAGACGACTTATGTTGATTGTCTGACCCATGGGTGAAAAAATGATATTGTAAAAAGACCCCGTGGAAGCCCCTGAAAACTGTCTTCTCACCCTACAAAGATAGTCAATAAGAATAAATGAAGACGTTCAAGATCTACTCTCTAGCAACTTTTAAACATGCAACACAGTGTTATTAACTACAGTCTCCATGCTGTAGTTTACATTCTCAAGACTCATTTATTTTATAACTGGAATTTTGTACCTTCTGACCCCCTTTACCCAACTATAGTCAGCGTGGTGGCCCCGGTAAGCATTCAGCGGCTGTTTAAAACGTAGTATTTCCACAGCAGTGTTAATCATCTCCACCTGAACTGCCCATCTTTCTGTTTCTCCACCTCCCTGAATAGCACTAGCACACGCTGTGAAATCTCAACACTGGCTGTAAGAGTCAGTTCATTCTTTCTTTCACACCCCATCCACCCTCTATCCGTACCCCCTGAATTTCCTTTTAGATCAAGTTCACTGTGTGCCAGGTAACTTTGTGAGACAAAATCTAGCATGGGTTCCAATAATTTGGGAGATTTTCTTTATCTCAAGATGCAAAAAAATGCAGATTCTTCCTGAGCTCGTCTCAAAGTTGTACGTTGTTATTACATAGATGCTCACTTTTCTCTCCAAAGAAAAAACATTTCACATATGGCGCCGATTTCAGATTCCTCCACAAAACTAGCCTAAAAGGTGGTGGGTAACTAATGTGAAAGAAAATTTTATCAGGCTAAATAAAAGGAATTAGTAAATTTTGCCAAAATTTGGTTTTATTTTGTCTTCAGAATTTCCAATCTACTATGATATTCTGCTTGATGAGACATCTTGGCGTTAAGAGTAAAGCATAAGTAGTCTATCTATGATTAATACATAAAACGAATGAGGCCGGCCCCATGGCTGAGTGACTAAGTTTATGAGCTTCACTTTTGTGGCCCAGGGTTCAACGGTTTGGCTCCTGGGAACAGACCTACATACCACTCATCAGGCCATGCTGTGGCAGCACCCCACGTAGAAAAACTAGAATGACTTGCAACTAGGATATAGAACTATGTAAGGGGTTTTGGGGAGAAAAAAAAGAGGAAGATTGGCAACAGATGTTACCTTAGAGCCAGTCTTCCTCACCAAAAAAAAAAATATATATATATATATGTATATAAAGATGAAGTCCAAATGTTAAATACAGAGATAGAGAGAAAGATGATAATAAAAAAGAAAATAATCTTAAGATAATATAGTATTTTCACATCCATTCAGTGAAAGATGTTCAGTAATAAAAAAAAAGAGAGATAAACCAGAACTAGCCCAGTGGCACAGTGGTTAGGTTCACACACTCCTCTTTGGCAGCCCAGGGTTTGCTGGTTCCGATCCCAGGTGCAGACCTACACACTGCTTGTCAAGCCATGCTGTGGCAGGCATCCCACATATAGAGGAAGATGGGCACAGATGTTAGCTCAGGGCCAGTCTTCCTCAGCAAAAAAAAGAGGAGGATTGGCAGCAGATGTTAGCTTAGGGGTAATCTTCCTCAAAAAAAAAAAAAAAACAGAAAATGACACAAACCAATGTAAACACAGCAGCATGGATGGGTCTCAAAGCAGTAAAGGGACAGAATGTTTTAGCCAAATGCAGTGTTTATAATAATAATTTTAGCCAAATGCAATGTTTATAATTCCTGGAGCATGATATATATTCTCTCTGACACAGACTTGACAGAGCTGACCTTTTCAAGATGACTCTTCCCCATGCCCCAGCTCCCTTCCCTAACTAATTCTTACTCAGATCCCATATTTCACTCACCACGCCACCTCTTTCAGAAAATCTTTCTTGACGCCTCCCCAGTAGAGTTAGAAATACGATTATGTACACACACAGCACAAATCTCACTGTTTCCAGTAGTTAGGAATACCTCTGTGTACACACACATCCCCACTCTCCCTGTTTCCAGGAGTCAGTAATACCTCTGTGGACACACACGGCACCGCTCTCCTTGTTCCATTCAAGCTATATCACACCATATTGTGAAAATATCTGTGCCTTTGCTGAGGTATAAACCCCACAAGTTCAGGGTCCACATAGGAACTTTTTAATGCATGGCCCATATTAACGTCTTAATAATTCTTTTTTTTTTTTTTTTAAAGATTTTATTTTTTCCTTTTTCTCCCCAAAGCCCCCCGGTACATGGTTGTGTATTCTCTGTTGTGGGTCCTTCTAGTTGTGGCATGTGGGACGCTGCCTCAGAGTGGTTTGATGAGCGGTGTCATGTCCGCGCCCAGGATTCGAACCGACGAAACACTGGGCCGCCTGCAGCGGAGCGCGTGAACCTAACCACTCGGCCACGGGGCCAGCCCCCGTCTTAATAATTCTTAAATGAATTAATGAATAAGTAAATATTTAGAATCGCTTTTAGAGTTTGTGCATTTGAATTTCAGCAACTAAGAAAGTATTGTCTCTGCAGATGCGTTTTAGGAAAGATACTCTACGACGTAGTGAGACTGCTCATGTGAAGAAATTGCAGGATACACAAACACATCGTGAATTAAAAGGCATTAGTATAATGTACTCTTTCACTTATTAAGTTTTTGAACTTTCTCAAACATGAATCATTTTAAAAATCCAGTGTTTCTGGTTCAACAGTAGATATTAAGGTCCATTCAGAAATGTGTGGTCTTTGCGACGTTTTGCCGGCAAGGACGCAGTAACCGCGTCCACTTTCTACACCTCAGCGGTCGCTGAAACAGAAGGATTCCCAGGAGAAGCAGCTCGCTGTCAGCGGTGTTCGGCTCTTGTCCTAATCCTTGCTAAACCACTTATTGTAATTAACATTTCAAACAAACATCCCAAAGGAGGGGCTCAAAGTACAATCTACCTTTCTTCAAAGGGGAAACCCGCTATCATCTGCCAAGAATAAACCCTTTATTTTCCTGGACATCCCTTTAAAATACTGCAGACTTTTTTTTAAGAGTCAGAGACCTGAATCCACAGACTCGAATGCTACATATGCAGCGAGGTGTGTGTTCAAGAACAGATATGTCTAAATTGATTAACAGGTCCATTTTAATTTCACCAAGAAAATGGCTTAAAAAAACTGATTTTGGCTAAATGTTAAAATGTAATTGGCCTTCGTAATTACATAAAACCTATTTGATAACATTACACTTTCTAATTATAGATTTTTAGTAATTAGTTTTTTTCAAAGTTCTCACTATACTGCCAATGCCAAATTAAGAACTGTGAAACAGGTGCTGTCAAAGTTATAAAATCAGACTGTCAAACCATCTCTTCTCCTTTTGCCACTTTCGTATCAATACTGGATAAATTAGTAAAATATGTTTGATGAAAGTTCAACTCCCACAAATGTCGCAAACTTTCTTCTCTATAAGAATAGGCTCTATTATAAGACAAACATATTTACATAAATAAAGTACTTTTAAATGCTTTGGACAAAAGCACCATTTATTATCTTATATGCAAAGATTAAAGTGATGACATATGGAAAGTATTTCCATCATTTAAATGAATGTGAAATAATCACACAAATAATAACTTAAATAATACCTTAACGCATCCAGTTACTCGTGGAAGAAGGGTGGCTTTCGTGGTTTACCCAGCAAGGCTGAAACTCAACAGAAACACCTACTTCAGAGGCACTAAAAGCTATAATCTCGTGGCAATGGCGTGTTGGCAACTTCTCTTGAAGTTGATTTCCTCTTCAAAAGGAGGAGAATTTCCTCTTCATATTAATATGTTTTTGCAAAAATGAGAGTTCATTAACTATAGATCTTCGGGTTCTCAATAGCCCAAAACTGTAGGAAATGAGAGAGAGAGAGAACAAGGAGATTACCATGACGCGCTCACGTAAGCCATTGGACAGAGGGAAAACAAATTAGCCTGAGTCATCTATAAACCAAGACCTAATGGTATAACTAGAGGCATTTGGTCACCTAAACATGCAAAATAGATGCTATGATGTCAAGTCTTCACTGCAAATAGAGTGAATCTGTTAATACATTTAATGACAAAACACAGAGGCTACCTTTGCCTGGTCTCCAACCACAGTGTCAAAGACGGACCAGCGATGAGTCATAGCCACCCCCATTATTATTTACACCGCAACCCTGAAGATGGATCCTTAGACCTACACTGGTCTGGTGGTATTTGTTCCCTAATCTGGGTCTCTGAACTTTAGCATGCATTAGAATAATCTGGAGTGCTTGTTAAAAAACAGGCTCCTGGAAGGGAACCAGAGTTCCTGGTTCCATTCTGATTCAGTTTCTAATTGATTTTGATCCACCTGGATTGGTGGAGTCTGAGAATTTAATTTCCCAGCAAGTCTCCAGGTTCTGATTTGAGACCTGCTGATCTAAACCATACATCAGGCTACAGATTTTGATTTACCACCAAGCAGCCTTCAAACCCCATGTAGCTCACTCACAGAGAAAAAAATTACGTTTGTCAGGTGATATGAAAATCAGACTCTCTTGGCTTTTATTGTTTGATTTTAAAAGTCACTTAGCATTCTGGTTTTATATATCAGCTTTTGAGAGTTCTATTAGGTTGAGTCATCCACAAGATTACTCAGATGTGGGAGCTAAACAGATCTCTTTCTAGGCTGCATGATTGCCTCCTCAACAAAACAGAAGGTTTTTGCTGTTTCCTGGGGGAGCCCACACCTGAAAGCTCCAGCAGAGCCATTCCAGTGTTCCCCAGGGAGCATTTCCCATCAAAAGATTGGTAAACGTAAAGCGAAATAATTCTAATAAACCCGAGGTATTATTAAAACTAATCTCAGTTCACATTTTAGGGTCATGGCTATTTCAACAATATAACAAGTTTCATAACATACTTATCAGCATCTTTTCCTTCACTCAGAAAAAAAGGATCTACTTAAAGGTATAGGAAATGTACTATCTGAGTAAATTATTTTTTTCTGATATGGCTGAAATATAGTCACTACGTTGCTGAAATTATTTCATAAGTTTTCATATGGAATCTTATTTAATTTTGTATACATTAAGCCTTTAGCTAGATTTTGTAAACCTGGTGCAAGACATCATCAACATGAATGTAGAGAGAACTGTACAAACATTTGAACCTTCATACGAAAAATTATTTTCTTCGAAATACTTTAGATTTAAATGCTCAATACAATATAATATGATGAGATTTAGCTATTTAAAAATAAATACCATTTGAAAATATACACATCTCAGCTCAAGCAAATAAATTATGTGTGGCGGTGACATTTCTATTTGTACACACATACACACACAAACACACACACAAGGCCTATGCTTTGAATCTACGGCAACATAATGTTTTATGAAACATTACTCCTCTTTTAAGATTTAGAGATAAGGAAATGGTTCTTACGGAAAAATATATAACACTAGACGGATTACAAAGAATTTCTGTATATATTAATAAAACAAGTTTTTTTAAACAAAAGACTCTTTAAAAACGAATTTATACGCAAACCAGGCATGAATTATTTTAGTTGGCTAGATACAATTGCATTTCAATTCTCATGCAAAACTTATTTTATACCAAGAAAATATTTCAGCCTAGTTAGCAGACTACTATTTGCCCTCGTTCCTAGTCCTCTCCCCAAATCAAAGATAGCGTTGCCATTCCTGACATAACCCAAATTCCTGGTGTCTCAAGCTTTCATCTACTGACTGACCCATTAAAATACTGATTTGCAGGTTTGTACTGTTTCATAAAGTGGTCATGTATACTCAGCTTTAGTAAGGTCCTCCCAGAAATGTCAAGAATTAAATTTGCCTGCAGGGCATTTAAAAAACAAAACAAATATTCTAAGGAGTCTCACAAAAAGTTCATCTCTACCCTGTTTAATGTCATCTGACTCGTCTTTTAGGGTTACACAAATGTCTGCAAATTTCTTTATGTATGTTCATATACTCCTCATCTGACTTGAATTGTTATTTGGGAATTTAATGTGTTTTTGCCATTTCAAAATACGCTTGCTTGGGGCTGGCCTGGTGGCACAGTGGTTAAGTTTGTGCACTCGGCTTCTGTGGACCTGGGTTCATGGGTTTGGATCCTGGGCGCAGACCTATGCATTGCTCATCAGCCTTGCTGTGGCAGGCATCCCACATATAAAGTAGAGGAAGATGGGCATGGATGTTAGCTCAGGGCCAGTCTTCCTCAGCAAAAAGAGGAGGATTGGCAGCAGATGTTACCTCAGGGCTAATCTTCCTCATGAAAAAAATTTGCTTTGAACTTTCTGGAGTACAAAATCAATAATGAAAATGAAGATCATTAATTGCCTTGATTAAACGTACAGAAAAGAAGACAATGAATAGTTTCTTGAAACAAACAATAAAATACCGTTTCTGAAGATTATTCTCACCTACATTGACCCAATAACACCAATACCCACCTCCAGTGGGTAATTTGAATTTGTTTAGTCTTGCTCACACATGCAATTTTTATGTTTTATTTCATTCAAAAATATTTCTAGAAAAAGAAGACACAGTGGAGCAGGCATATAGAGGAGATAAAGCAGGACAAAAGCAGAAGGCAAGCGCTAGAGGCTAATGGAGGTCTATTTTCTCTCAAAAATTCTAATCTAGCTAACCTGTGGTAAAATTCCTCTGAGATCATTGACAGATGAAACCAACCAAGAAGCATGGTTCAATTCTCCCATTTGGATAAGCAAGCATATCAGAATGTGCATAACTCAATCTTACATTTAATTCTCTCTACAGGAGAACCTAGTGTATTTTTTCTACCTGGAGATTTTTAGAAAAAATTAAACCAAACTGGCAGAAAAAGAGAGAAGGAATTCCTTGATTTAATCTGCTAACCTTTTCAAATGGTGCATCAGGAAACCTAAGGGCACATGTGGTTTATTTGTACCGTATCTCTCAGGATTAATTTGTACACTATCATCTGAGGATATAAGCAAACACTTATTGTGCTGTTATCGATTTGGGGCTACTGTGGAGAAAACACAAAGCATCTGCCATTCCTGGCAACGTGGGCAAGTCTGCTTATCTCACTTATCCCATGAGAACCGTCTCCATTCCTCAGAGACCTTCCTTCACGGTATTTGGGAACAGTAAAGATGTATTTTTATTCTAATGCCCTAATCAAGCAAATTGTATATAACTGAATTTGAAAATGTGGTTGAACTTGTAAACGTAAACATGATAAAATTTCATATCACACTCTTGTTTAGTGAAATACAGACCTAAACCCCCAAAAGGACTTTGCAACACCTAAATGTGAAAATCCCCTGTTAGAGGTAATACAATGATTATCCCCATGTGGGGTCTCTCTCTCTCTCTCTCTCTCACACACACACACACACACAGACACTTTCCTGAATTTCCTAGCTATTTGAGTAAAAACTATTTTTATTCAATTTTTCAAATCATTTCTATTTAGTCTTGGGCTGATCTGTTACCGTACTTAATCAGTTGTTTCTCCCAAAAGTCACATTAGCCCAGACTTAAAAATTGTTCCACTGCTGTCACAGACTAGTATCCCTGGTGTGGCCTCCGATCCCCCATGTAAACCGGCTTGCCCTTTAAAGAGATTGAGGTTCCTTCTTGAAATTTGATCCATCACTATGCCTCCTTTGTGAGTCCAGCTCTTCCTAATACGTCTTTCTTTGAAGATAATCCCTATTGCTTCTGCTGTTGAAAAACCAAATACCAAAAACAATATACGTCATAAGGTTTCATCAATCAAATTGCCTACAGCTTCTGCTTGTGCCTACCAAAACTGATAACATGGATCCTGCAAGTCAAAGATGGGCAGCCAGCGCTCCACACTGGACTGGTCTGTCCACATGTCTGTCTGTGTGAAGGACACACATTTCCACCATAAGTAAACACTGAAGCTGCCTAGATTTTGGAACGAATGCTAGTGAATATGTCTTCACTTTTCCTGCAATATTTTATGATAAAAAACTACTGTCAACTCTTTTGTCCTAAGTCTCAGTTATGAATTTGATGAAAATTGGCGGAAGGACGATGCGATTGAGACTGATCTGTTTCTGGACTCAATATGAACAATTCCCATTTCAAACACTTCCAGCCCTTGCCTCAGTTCTCTTCACCTCGAGGTTTTTGCTTTTGTGCTGTCATTTTTTTTCTTTTTGACATGATGCTTACCCCATGAGTCTCTTCGCTGTGCCCAGATTTGTCTTCAAGTTTAGAATCAAGTTAAGATGTCTGATACATAGACCTGATAGTATGGCAAGGAATCCTCTATTCCAGACACTTAACAGTGCATCTGCCCAACATAACAGCAACCATTTTTAAGCTGCCACATTATTCAAACGGGGTTTTAGGTTCTGCACTTCACATATAAGCACAATTAACTTCTGACAGTAAATTTTTAACTAATTACAATGTACCCATCCATGCAAGATAATTGCAATATAAATGTTTAGTAGACAATCTGGTGCCTTCATTCATAATTAATGTTATAAAATTGATATTAAATGCTTCTACACTATAGACGTTGGCAAAGAAAAATTTGATAAACATTTAATTATTTATAAGTGCACATTATAATTCATACTATATAAAAGCATTTAAAAAGAAATAGTACACAGGTAAAGCCAACCAGGAAGATAATTTTATATTGACACACTTACTGTCTCTTAATGGCCATTATCAGCACCCACGATCGAAAGATATGGCATCTAGACTAAACCATCACTTATTAGAATAATCTCTGTCTGCATGTTTTATGTTGATAACAAATAATTGGTTGTTTTTTTGTTTTTTGTGAGGAAGATTGTCGCTGAGCTAATATCTGTGCCCATCTT